AGGATTACAGGCAGGAGCCATCATATCCAGTGTCACTCTGTGTCTGTTTGTTTGATTTGGTTTTTGTTTACTGCTGCTGGCCTTGAAGTCACCCTGTAGCTCAGGCTGTTGTTGAACTCAGGATCCTCTTGTCTTTACCTCTCAAGTGCTAGGATGACAGGTTTGTGCCACCACCACCAGGCTTGCAGCTCTACTTCCCGGGCCTCGGTCCACTTGGCTCTCAAATGGGCCTTGCAGCACTGCCCACATCATTCAGATGTTTTGAGAATTACTGAAAAGTAGACAGGTTTGTGCCACCACCACCAGGCTTGCAGCTCTACTTCCCGGGCCTCAGTCCACTTGGCTCTCAAATGGGCCTTGCAGCACTGCCCACATCATTTAGATGTTTTGAGAATTACTGAAAAGTAACACAGCCCTGACACAATGGGGTCTGGGGTTGTTACTTGTATGTTGGGCAGGGGCAGCCTCCACCACCCAAATAAAAATAAAGTCCCAGATTCTGTTCTAAGAGCCTTAGAAACTCCCAAGGTCTGTACTGAATTCTAAAAATAACTCCCAGTCAGGAAGGTGTAGCTGTCGCCACTCACCCATCCACTCTCCCAGCCCAGGCCAACAAAGATTAACCCTGGCTACCCAGGGTAGTGTCCAGTAGGACTGTGGGAAAGAAGAGAAGAAAACCGTATGTAACTCCTCCCAAAGTCTGTTCCCCCTTCCCCCAGCTTCCCAAAGCACTTTCCTGTCATTTGATGCTGGACCCACAACCCACACTCAATCTGTTGGGACACCAGGTATCCAAATTACCTAGCACACTGGTCTTGAAGGCTCCAGCTGAGTCCTTGGCAGACATCACTAATCAACTGGGGCACATACCAAATCTCTTTTCACCCAGAGCTCCAGGCAGACATTACTAATCAATCAGATGGCCCAGGGGATGAAAAGGATATTTCAAATCCGACTTCAGGAAGCAAGACTGACCTGCTGTGTGTTCTTCCTACAACCTAGCTCAGTGCCTGCACTTTACCCACCCTACAACCTGAGTGAATGAGTGAATGAATGAACAAATGCACACCCAGCCAGCCCAAGTGCTCTGAAACCTAAGATACAAGAGCTAACAGCAGCACCCAGCACATTCTCCCCACAAGTACAGTTACTTGGAGGACCTGTGAATGACAGTGGTGGGGACTATGTCCCCTTCACCCACCCTGGAATGGTGTCCATCTCCTCCAGATCCCTGTCACCTCTCCTCCTCACTGTGTGACATCAGGAAGGGCACCTACTCTCTGTGCCTCTGCTTCCTCAGTGGATGTGGATTATAAGAGGCCCCTGCCTTAAAGACAGTGCTGGGTTCAGCCCTGACCTGGCTAATGAGAGCACAAGTTCTTCACAGCCGAGGCAATGCCAGTCTTCCTTACCACACAGAAGGGCCTTGAGGACCCAATGTCTTCGTAGGTACTGTGCCTCTTGATAGGACCATGTGAGGCAAAGAGACACTGTTGAGTTCTTAACTCCACCAGGGTTACTGGCAATGTATGGTCATTTAGGGCTGGGAATGGCTGCTGTCATGGTTTCAGAACCCCAGCCTTACTCCCCAGCACAGGGGCTACACAGTAACCTTCCTGGGCACAGCTATGATTCCTGCATCTAAGATTCACCTGCTTCTTGGATTCAGACAGGCCTCAGCAATGACTCCTACACTGCCGTGCCCTGCTGCCATATGAGGCCTGGGGTCTCTGACCCCATGGAGCAAGCCACATATCAAACTACAGGAGGCTGCTGAGGATAAGATCTTCCTCCCCTTCCCTGCTCCCTAGAGGCTGGAGCACAGGGAAAGAGGCAGGCATTGAAGGGGCATCTGAGCCAATTCCCAGAGCATACCCCACCCCCCTCGCTGGACCTCAGTTTACCCACGTGGAAATGGGTGCTTTCCCTTCATCATTATGATACCTTCTGCACATTACATTCACTGATTTGCTTTTCCTACAGATGTTTATTGAGCACCAACTGTTTACCAGGTCTTCCCTGGACCTCCTTCTTATTCTATACTGGAAGTCCTTCTTCCTCTTTGGCCTTAAGGTCTTGGTTTTGTCATAGGAAGCATCCTGGGCCTCCCCCATGTCTGCTCTGTGAGATACCATCTACCTTACCTGCAGGGCAAAACTATGTCTTGTTCTTTCATACACTTCCACAGCCTCCAGATAATGCCTCCGAAAACTTCTCCCAGGAGATTGAGCATATAAACAAACTTAAGAGGTCCAAATCTTCTTCCCTCTACTCCTAGCACAATGCCTCCAAGGTGCTTTTTGCCTGGGCACTCTTCTCCCACCCAACCACCCCAAGAGCCCCCAAGGGTGAATCTCATCACTGGCCAGGTGCTTCTCTAGATGCCCCTAAGTCTGAGTATGCAGCTTTCTGTGCTTACAAGGCCTAAGGGCTCCAATGTGAGGCTGGTATTACCAGGTCCCCAGTGATCCATGCCCTGCTCAGAGCCTCCATCCCAGCAGACACTTGGTAAATATTGAGGTATTAATTAACTTCCTCTAGGGAATGGTGACTCAGACCAGATGTAATCACTCCAACTCAGGGAGGAAAAGCGATCGCCCCAACCTCGCTCAGGTGATCTCCACAAGGTGACTGCTTAGGGTCCTGCAAGC